GAAGGCTCCTGGGATTTATCTAAGTTGGTAGGAGTGCAGTAAGCATGTTCTTGGGGTGAGAAATGCTACATACAAGAAGTATAGCAACTATGAGTAGGCTGTTAGACATTTTTAGGCAGCCATGAGAGATGTCCATCCATCTCATGGAGCAGCACCTCCCCCCTATGATCTTGTCACTCATGATGCTTTTGCTCCAACCATTCCTCCTTCTGATGGTAATGGTAAGGCTGGTTGGTGGAAGAAGGTGTTAATCACCTCACTTGTTATCTTGGTGGTTGGACTATGGATGAAGGGGGGCAAAACTGGCAGCTACGACTGCCCCACTTAGGCCTGTGATGACTACAACTACATGATGGATGAGCTGCTGCTGTGTCTTACTGATTTCTGTCTTCCATTTCTATTACCTATCTCCTTTGTGTTGTTCAAGGAGTGCTGATTACTGATTAGGCTGCTGATGTTGTTATTTTGCCTTGCTTCATTGGTACTTTTGTAAAGTTAGAGCAGCTATGACTCCATGCTTCTTTACCTAATTAGTCTGAGGCTCGTGGGTTATGTGATGTTGCATTACTCTTATCTATCTCCTATCTGTTGATTTCTGTTGGCTGCTCTCCATGGTTGCTGGCCTGTCTGGGGATCAAACAAGATCCCAGATTGGTAGTTGGTGGTAGTTGGCCTTGGGCCTGGCTCCCAGCTGTGGAATCAAACACAATCTTCCGTGGGCTTGGTCAGTTTGGTATAGGCCACCAAACAAGGGGCCTTGCACCGGGTCAGCCAGGCTGTGGCTGGTCTGGGCCTGGCTACCTTCAGGCCGCCTACCAAACACGCCCCTGGTATCTCTCAGCTTGCACTAGCAGAAGACCCGCCCATTAGATTTTTTTTCTAATAACACATACTATAGACTAGATATTCTTTACACGGTATATACAGGAGAAATGTATCTATAAAAGGCAAAATGTCTTATAATTTTGGATGGATGGAGCACTATTAGAGTGGGACAGAATGTTTATCAGTTGACAAGATCTTTTTCAAGGTGATTTCTTTGAAGTGTGGTCACTATGATACCAGACTTTTCATTTTTGCAATTTTGATCTAGGCAATGTGGACCATGAGAAACAAAATTTGTGACAGAGAGGAAATTTCCAAAAACATCCTTTAAAGTTTCTTTATGGTTTGATGTCTATAGAAGTGTTGTATTCTGTTAAAGAAAGCAGCATGTAATTATCTTGGTGGCAATATGACGCCAATGAAGAAATGGATTGAAGGTTTTGTTGAGAAGGCTAGAGATATGGAGATGGAAGGGGGCATCCGATGTTATGTGATCTGGCTAGACTCTAGTGGCTAGAGTTGTATCTTCTTTTGTATCTTCTTAGTCTAGTGGAGGTCCTATATGCTTTGAGTACTTTAGTTTGGCCATGTCCAACGCTCTTATTTTAAGGTGAAATCCATAGCATTTATGTCTGTTTGTTGTTTTAGAATATAATAAAAATCTTAACTACTTTCTACAAAAGCAGGTTTTGCCTACATAAAGAAAAAGATGTACACTAGCATTTTTTTTATAGTACAGTACTTTTTTTGTCCCACTTCTGAATGCACCTGAGTCCACATAGAAATCCCAAATAGGAGTTAATAACATCAACTACTCTTGTTTAGATGTATGATCTGAGCCTAGTGGGTAAGATTATTTACATAATTAATGAGTGTGGTATTTCCTCTTAATGTTGCCAAAATGTGATATAAAATTTTGATCAACTAAAACTAGATGAATGCTATTAAAAAATTATAGCCAAAACTTTGATTGACTAACAGTTAATTAGGCAACCCAAAATCCACTTGTCTAGAATTATATAATTGTTGTAATGAGAAAGGCTAGTTGGTTTGTGATTTCTAAGTCAATGAGGAATGAAGTTTTAAAAGCACTTTTAGATGGGGAAAGATGAAGGAAAGGGTTAGACCAATGGTTGCCTACAAATTTTAGTTGAATGGATAGGAAGATAAACCATATGTTTTATTTTTTAAAAACAAATATTGAGATATACAACTTGCCAATGTATAATATATTGACTTTTATAGTGGCGATAACTATGAGATAGGGGAAACATTGGAGGATATATAATGGTAGACAAACTAAAGAGTTTCTTATTTGCTTCAAAAAAATAAAAAATACAAGCAGGGGTAGCTTTGAAAAAAGAAATAGGGATGTAATACTTATTGTAATTTGTGTGGGGTTCTAGAATGGTTGATCATGTTTTCTCTCAACGGATTATGTCTTGGGTGATGTGGACCAAGATTAAAGAAGCACCGGAGTGGGGGAGAATTTTTATTAGTTGATAAGATCTTTTTCAAGGTGGTTTCTTTGGAGTGTGGTCACTATGATATGAGACCATTTATTTATTTATTTATTTGCAATTTTCATCTAGGAAATGTGGACCATGAGAAATAAAATCGGTGCTAGAAAAAAATCCTAAAACACCCTTTGAATTTTTCTTCATAGTTTGATGCTTGCAAATGTGTTGTATTCTGTTAAAAGAAAGGTGAATGCAATTACCTTGATGGCAAGTCCGATGACGCCAATGAAGAAATGGATTGAACGTTTTGTGGAGAAGGCTAGAGATATGGAGATGGAAGGGGGCATCCGATGTTACATACGCTAGGCTCTTGCGGCCAGAGTTCTATCTTCTTTTGTATCTTCTTAGTCTAGTGGATGCTTTTAGTACTTTAGTTTGGCCATGTCCGGCGCTCTGTAAGGCGAAGTCCATAGCATTTATGTCTGTTTATCGTTTTAGAATATATAAAAAATCTTAACCACTTTCTACAAAAAGCAGGTTTTACTCGCATAGAGAAAAAGGATGTCCACTAGCATTTTCGAATAGTCCAATGCATTTTTGTCCCACTTCTGAATGTACCCGAATCCACATAGAAGTCCCAAAGAGTACCTAATAACATCAACCATTTTTGTTTGATGTATGATCTGAAGCCATAGTGGGTAAGATTATTTACATGATTAATTAGTGCAACATTTCCTCTTAACATTTGCAAAAACATTATATAAAATTTTGATCAACTAAGACTAGATGAATGTTAGAAACAATCTAAGGCCAAAATTTGATTAACTGTAAAACATTTATAGCCAAAGTTTTGATTGACTAATTTGTTAGTTGGGCCACCCAAAATTCACTTCTTAAAAATTTGTATACTTGCTACAATGAGAAACACTAGTTGGTTTGTGATTTCTAGGCCATTGAGGTATGAAATTTTAGTTTTATAAGCACTTTTGGATGGGCAAAGATGAAGGAAAGGGTTAGGTTAATGGACATGCTTACAATTTTCAATTGAATGGATAGAAAGACAAAGAATAATGTGTTTTTAAAATATATATATATATATATGGACATATACAAGTCACCAATGTATATTAGGTTGAATTTTACAGAGGTGATAACTATGAGATTGGGGAAACATTGGAGATAGAATGGTAAAGAAATTAAAGATTTTTTCTGTCCTTGTCTTCCAAAATAAAATTACAAGCAGGGGTAGCTTTGAAAGAAAAAGAAAAAAAAGGGATGCAGTGCTTTTTGTAACCTGTGTGGGGTTGTATAAATGGTTGATCATCTTTAATTTCTTTTAGTGCATTATGTCTTGGGTGATCAGGACCAGTACTAAAGAAGCATCAGAGTGGGAGATAATTTTTATCAGTTTACAAGATCTTTTTCAAGGCGTGGTCACTATGACACCAAATTTTTTATTTTTGCAATTTTTATCTAGGCAATGTGGACTAAAGGAAACAAAAATTGTGTCAGAAAAGAAATTTCCTTAAACATCCTTCGACGTTTTCTTTTCTTCATAGTTTCATGTCTTAAAAATGTTGTATTATGTTAAAGAAAGGTGAATGTAATTATCTTGATGGCATGATGACGTCAGTGAAGAAATGGCTTGAAGGTTTTGTGGAGAAGGCTAGAGATAGGAGATGGAAGGGCGCATCCGAAGTTGTGCGGCGTGGCTAGGCTTCAGCGGGTAGAGTTTATCTTCTTTTGCATCTTCTTAGTCTGGTGGAGGTCCTATGTGATTTGAGTACTTTAGTTTGGTTGTGTCCGATGTCCTATTATATGCTGGAATCCCTAGCATTTATGTCTTTTGTCGTTTCATAATATATACAAAAATTTCGAGTTCCTTTCTTCAAAAGTTGGTTTTACCCATGTAAAAAGCATAACCACTAGCATTTTTGAATAGGCCACGCCTTTTTTTTTGTCCCACTTCTGATTGGACCTGAATCCACATAGAAGTCCTAGAGGCTTATGCTGAAATTTGGCTTATGCTGAAACGTTGCGAAAGAAAAATACTGTTCCATGATTAAAAAGTAGTGCTGAATAAGCTCAAGCGAATATAGCTTGAGGACATAGTTGTAATATTCTATGCATATTCAATATGTGCGGCATTTCTTCTAGGGTTGCTAAAACGTGAGATAAAATTTGATCAACTAAAATTACACTAAAGCCGAAGACAGTCTGTGGCCAAAATTTTGATTGACTGTAAAACATTTATGGCCAAAATTTTGACTGACTGTAAAAATTTATGTAACTCGTTAGTGGGGCCACCCAAGATAAACCTCCTTTCAGACCGCTCTAGATCCACTCCCCGATTTTGAATCTAGCGTTGCGCAGAAGCAGAAACCTGATCCATACAAAATCCAAACAATCTTATCAGATGAGAACACCTGCTGGCAGATTTCAATTCAACCGCCTGCTGCCAATCTGCCCGTACGTGCGCAGAGCCGCCGAGTAACCCGATCAGAGCGAAGCCTCCCCGTCCCGTGCGGCGTCTTTCCCCTCCCGTCACCACGCCGGCGCCCATAAAAACCAAACCCCACGACGCCTTGCCCTCTCCTTCGTTTCCCCACCAAGTCGCCTGCCTTGCCCTCTCCCGCCCACCGCTCGGAGGTCGGAGCCGACGTCGCCACCTGAGCTGCGGACCCCCGGGCCGGAGTGTGCGGCCCGCGCCCGCTCATGGACGAGTACCGGACGCCGCGCCGGTTGCCGGCGGGCGAGCGGTTCATCGGCATGTTCTCGTCGCCGTCGACGCCATCGTCGTCCCCGACCGAGCCCTCGTTCGTCGCCGGGGACGAGCTCCACGAGGACGACTTCCTCTTCTCGTCGTCTGACGCCGCGCCGCCGCAGCCCGACGGGGCCCGGAGCCCGGGCCGGGGAGCGCCGCCGGGGCACCTCGGCCTCCTCGCCGCGCTGGCGCTGCACGAGGGGGACAGGAGGCTCCTGGTCCGCGGCGGCCACGGCGGGGGAGTGGCCGCCGCGGCGGCCGCGGCCAGCGCGGGGACGCTGCTCCGGCGCAAGGCGACCATCGCGGCGGCCACCGCATCCGCCTCGGCCTCGGTGGCGTCGGGGAGCGGGGGCGCGCTGTCGCCCACCCAGTCCCCGTCCCCGACCTCCTCCGCGCGGGCCATCCCGGCGACCGCGAGGCCCAAGAATGCCGGGCCCGCCCCGGCGTTCCACCAGTCGGCGCCCGTGAAGGTGCCCGTGCGTCCGCCCCGGAAGCCAGCTATGGGCCCGTGGGACGAATTCGATGACGACGACGACGACTACAGGCGCAGCGACGCCGCGATGCTGCCCCCGCATGAGATGGTCACCCGCGCGTCCGCTGGTGGGGCTGGGCCCGCCGCTCCGTTCTCCATGCTCGAGGGCGCCGGGCGCACGCTCAAAGGCCGAGACCTGCGGCGGGTGCGCGACGCCGTGCTCAGGCAAACCGGGTTCCTCGACTGAATCCGGCAAGGTGACGTGGCTCTTGGCTTTTGTTCAGCAACCGTGTGCTCAGAGTCGTAGATGCGTTACATTAGCTATTAGTGTAGTGGGTTTTACTGTGTGAGCAAAGCGGGAAGATAAGATAACAAGGTTGAGTTTTCCAAACAACTGCTTGCAATTTTGCTGTCCTTGGATGTCTGCTTGTCATATTACTGTAAGCTTCAGCAGTAATAAGAACTGGTGTCCTGTGTCTGGGTCTGCGAGCTCTCTGTAATCCAGGAGGAAAGAGAGAGAACAAATTTCTGTCAAGGTTGTCTGTTAGGGGTACATATCAACTATTGTGAAGTTCGTCGAGACTAATGCTTTCTGCTCCTAGTGAAAATTTTGTTAATTTTATTTCATACTCTTTTAAGGTTGTTACTGATTTGCCTATGGTGATGAAAATATGCATTCTTTCGATGCTGCTTGCTTGAGGTCTGATGCTCATTCTTGATTGAATCTTCCTACTTTAGTGAGCTGCAGAAATGTGATCACCACTAGGACTGATAATACTTTCAGATTTATGTTGGAGATGTATGTGGTTTTGTGTGATGGCATATGAGAATTGGAAGATGTATATGTACTGATTCATTCATGCTCATGGTATATTTCCTGGGAAGGACTGGTAGTTGCTACTAGAGCTCTTGAAGTCTTTAGGCATGAGAAGCTGTAGGATCAGTGCTTATTTTTTGAAACTCACGATAGTATATTTATCTGTGCTCCAGTCTGTAACAGTTTGTAAGAAATTCGGTGTTGATAACAAACTGTTTTCCATGTTCAGTAGAAAAAAATGGAAGAAGTACCAGTAGCATATTTGGCATGCAATGTTACTACTGCCTTGCTGTAGCACACATCACTGAAAGATGCTAGTTGTACTACTGGTACACTAGAAGAACGCATAATCTTTATCCAGTGTTTCATGACTTTCTGCCTGCACTTTTGCGGTTTGTATGTTCTATAGTGTTATATTTCAGTGCCTTTGGGTCTGTGGCTGCTGTAGATCCTCTGCAATAATACAAAGTTATGAAAGTTGGGAACTTTGGGTATCTGGAAGGCCAGAACAATGTAGTTTATTAGAGCTGTTATAGAAAAGAATATAGAATGCTAGCTAGATGATCATTGTTCAGAACTTGTATGGTCTTTTGAAACAAGGTGCTTGTAATTGCCGCTAGGAGTTCTGTGCAAACATGAAAATTACATCAGATCGCTGATACTTCACATGATGTTTATAATGAGTCTTGGCTGGCCTTTTGGGTTCTGTTGGGCAGTCTTTGTTTTTGCTGTTGATGTTTATAGAAGAACCACAATGGATATGGCCATAGAGGAGGCCTAATACTTTTTTATGTCTTTATCAATCGTGGTTTCCTGGGACAATTTGGTTAGGTTTGGACTGTGAATCACTTAGCTCCATAGTGCCTCTCTGTTAGGGAAAGTGGGTTTTTGGTGCCCTTTTTAGCTAGATTTTGCTTTATTCCTCTGTTTGTGCCCCCTCGGCCCCTCTTTCCCCTTGTCAATTTCAGATCGTGGGTGCAGTGCTTTAGTTGATTGCTGGACCACTACTGAGCATGCAAAGAATCAGTACTACAATGAAGAATGAACCATACTAACTGATCGATGTTATCGCATATGCCATGAGTTACCGCATACTGTTCTCTCTGCTTCCTTGGGGCTTTGTTGAACGTGAATTTGCTGCCGGGTTGCTCAAATCAATGAGAACTGACAGAAGCAATTTTTGTATCTGCTATGTACGGAGTACTATCTGGAATTGAGCATGGCAAGTCGTGCGCCTGTTTGCTGCCGCAGATACATGCAAGGGTAGTTTTCCATCAAAATATATATTCGTAGCATTTAGAAAGAATACAGAGAGTCGAGGATCGGATTAGCTGCTAAAAATAGCTGAGGACACATTTGAATTTCTAGTTAATAGTTTAGCTAATGTCTTATCTACCACCTATCTGACAATTACTTATTCTAATTCTTCTTTAACTAATACAACTAAAAGTTAGTCGAGATTTGATGACATTGTAACGCTACATGTTAGTCATGCTATAATTTTTTAGACAGTTGTTCGATTTACTGCCGCAACTATGACATACCATACTTTTATCACACATGCTATAGACTTATTTTTTTTGCTCTAAGCTTTGCCACAAGTGTGGATTTCGACTTTGCTCGGCGCATTTTCTATGAAAGTTATAGTTTGACTATCCCGCGTTTTCTATGGCAACTATAGTTTAACTAAGGATAGGTGTGATAATATTTGGCAGCGAACCAAACATATCGTTAGTCGTCTAAGTCTAATAGGCGCCTATCTGATTTTTTTTCTCAGCCACGACCCACGATGGCCTTTTAGTTCGTGCCTCGAATATTTTTTTATAAAGGAAGGTTTTATTAAATTTCAAGCACTTTACATTGACATGATACAAAATCTCAAAAAGTGATTCTAGCCTCTGCTTAAACAAGCACACAGCCAACAAAAAAAGAGTAGCCCAACACATTCTAGTAACTATCAATTCGTAAACTAGATCGCCACCCATGTGCCTGGAAAAAATATCCTTGACCATCGGTCCCAATTGTTGTGACGTCGCCATAACCAAACCCTGCAAATCTGGCTTTTGGAGAATGGACCAAGTACGGAGCCAATGGACAATTGAATATATAACCTGCTTAACTATAGGGGCCAACAAGTAGCGGCTGCACCTAGCAAAACTAATGGCTTCAGATTATTACTAATGCCTCCAAACCAATTGCCAAACATATGTTGCATAGGAGAAGCCCAAGTTGTGGTAGCCGTTGCCAAGGAGGGCCTTAGAGCATCTCCAGCAAGACTACCCAAAACAGACCCGTACTTGTCTCTTTGGGTAGCCACCCATTTTAATATCATTTTTTACTTTCAACTTCAGCAGTACTACCTAAACCATGGCTCTCAAATTTATTCTAGCAGTCAATAGCATGTGTTGTCATCCTCCTTTTCTCGTGGTCATTGATGAACTCGTCCATCAGAAGCGATCCCCCACCGGAGAAGGGGTCGCACCACGGGAGGGAAGTCACCAGCAGCCAGCGTAGCGCCACGGGGAGGAGAGCCATCGGTGGCAGGTAGTTGCCAGAGGAGGACCGTCGTGGGTCGTGCCACTCCTTTCCTCATCACTGCAGGAGCTCGCGGGGAGGGGAGTCACCGGAGGATCGGCCGAGAAGCCACATCGGGAAGGGCGCGCGTGGGGAGCCCCACCGAGCAAGGTGTTGCACCTATGTCGGGAGCCCCAGCGGCTAGGAGGGAGGCGGGGTGGGGATGAGAGGCGAGACGACGCGGGAGGCAGGGTGGGAAGGGCGAAGAGGAGGAGGCGGATGTGCGCCGTCGCTCGGCGGTGCAACGGCAGGTGTGGGGTGGTGGTGGTAGTCTGAGCGGGAGCGGTGGGGCGGCGGAGAAGAAAGAAGAGTTCGTGGTGCGTGTGCGTGTGCGTGTGCGCGAGCTGCGAGATCCGGGTCTATCGGGGGAGTGTTCCCGCACCTGTCAGACTAACACATGTGTCATCCACTTGACCAATTTGAGTTAATCCTGACCGACACGAGGCCCCCAGGAGAGTGCCATATGCACCTCTTCAGGATCTTTTCTACGGTCGAGTGACACAAAACGCTCCAAATGGCAAACCAACATATAACATGAATATTATGCCAACACACTTGTAGTAGTTGAATTGAATTAATCAAAGTTATTTAATAAAACCATAGCGAAATAATGCAACTCGACATTTATTAATTTAACCCTCTATGGTTCATCTCCGTAAGGTCTCACTCGATAACTTATCAGAGTTAACATGTAGCTCATCTTGAAATCGCCAGTTCCAAGGTCTACTAGGCATATGTGGAGATGAGCTTGGCTCAGGACAACCGAAACGAAGCTACCTGCAAAACAACTTAACAGCAGCACCGTGAGTACATTGCGTACTCGCAAGACTTAATTCCAACATGTAGATATTTGGTGGATGCAAGGATATTATCAGGCATTTGAACATTTGCGAAAAAGCAATGGCATTTATTAAAGAATGACATGCTCAAGATTCACAACTAAACTACTAGCAATTAGGAGTCCATGATAAGTAGTAACAAGTAACATAGGTAAAGTGATCAATAGTATAATTCATCCCATAATCAAGTATCATCATCCACACTACAATGGGTCTAGAAGTAAGAACAACCAGTTTCATCTCGAGGGACTTCAAGCTTTCAAGTGAACTCTGCAGAGGTGTATAACTGTACCCATACGGAAGAACATGACTAACCACCATACCCGTGCGTGTGGCAGAACCGCCCGAGTTATGATGATTCACACGCACTTATCATTGTCTTAAAGACTTCTGACCATTATGCGTGGGACTCACACAACTCTGGTAGTTTGTCAGGCGTCCTTAGAGATCCCGAATCATCTACTTTTCACATCCGATCATGATCATTACAGAAGACATTGCAGTATTACAACAATTGATACAAATATATTACATCAAAGTTAAAGAGCTATTACAAACCATAAGTTTACAAACCATTTATTTAAGTTTTACAAACCATAAGTTTTTGCCTTCTCAAACGAAGTAGGGTAGCATGACTAACACAACTTTATTCATTACATGAAAGTATCATCTTGCCCAAGGATGAGAGTACAACACATCTATTGCTGGCTATCATCTTCTAGAACCGACATACAACAGGGACAAAAGCCTACCTGCTGTTGGGGTTCACCTGCAACAAGGGTTAACAAACCCTGAGTACTAAATTATACTCTACAAGACTTACCCGACGAAAAGAAAAAAGACTCCAAGGGTATGCAGGCTCGAGGGATACAAATTAAGTTTTAGCAAGAATCAAGATTACCATTTGCGGAAAAGCTTACTAAAGTGGATCCTTACTTTCAACATTTTAGCTCAACGTTAATTTCATTATTAGTATCCAATTTGCACCTGTTCTAAATCAATTCACTTCTTTGACCA